AGCAAGGCCTTAAGCAACTTAGCAAGACCCTGTCTCAAAATAAAAATAAATAAATAAATAAATAAATAAATAGGGCTGGGGATCTGGCTCAGTGCCCGTGGGTTCAATCCTCAGTACCTAAATAAATAAATAAATAAATAGGATGTCTATTTAGTGGAAGTACAATCACAATTTCAGTATGAAATTGTTCTCTAGCAGATGGAAGATGGCAGAGGATCTAGACTGCATGGTGTTCTAAATCAGTGTTACTGGGTCTAAGGGGACAATGTCCATCTACCTGTTCAAAATCATAAGTTTACGTGGCATTTCCTGAGCTTTCTAGTAAGAAATCCATGCACAGAGAAGTTATTTGTAAAGAACATAGAACAATTAATTGTTGTGATTTGGAATTAAATCTGCAGTCTGCCTCCAAATTCAGCAATCTTAGTAACTAACAAATTAGTATGTAGCCCTTGGAAATTCCACACTTGTTATTACATTGTAGCCAATTTATTTAAGTATATAAAAAGTAAATTAATGGAATTACTGTTATTATTTATTCATGGGAGCTGTCTTTGATAGGGAACAAACTGAATAGAGAATTTCTTTTCATTTTAAATTTAAGGAAAGCACATAGTTTTCTAAAATTATTCAAAATGGGCAAAAATTTAGATAAATAAAAATTAACAGAATCTATGCTCCTTTAAAAATGATCATTAATAGCTTTAAGTATATTTCCATCTCTTGATGTTGAAAACAATATGGATTTCTCCATTTTTCATTGCCATTCTTTTGCTTCTGAAAGAGCTGAGACTCACCTTCACATTGAGACCCCACCAGGCAGCTACTGTGGGGAACAGGAATGCACACCTCAGCGAGATCTGAGGCTTCGGAAGACAGAGAAGACGGAATCAAATGCTATGCAAGGGTAGAGTCTGAGGGAGGTTCACCGGTATGCCGTCCGAACCAGCAGAGCGATGCTCCAAGACTCTCTATGTGAACACCTACGCATGTCCATTTGCAGAGGAGAAATTGAGCTGGAAGCACTAGGGAAGGTTTGCAAAAATGCAGTGGTGATCTTCACCTGCCAATCTGCCAGACTGGATTTCCATGATGGAATTTGGATGTGAGCATGCTGAGAAGGAAAGTGGGCATGTGGCTAGCGTCTAAGGAGCGCAGCCTGTGGCTTTCGCGCTGCCCGGTATCTCCCTATCACCCTCCCCAGGGCTCCCTGAACCTCCTTGTTCCTCAGGCTGTAAATGAAAGGATTCAGCATGGGGTTGATAACTGCGTAGAACAGGGAGATGAGCTTGTCCCCCTCCGCCCGCCGAGTAAAGGGACTTGGGCCTCAGGTACCTGATCAGCCCCGTCCCGTAGTAAATGGTCACCACAGTCAGGTGGGATGTGCAGGTGGAGAAGGCTCTTTTCCTGCCCTCCGAAGAGTCCACCCTCATCACAGCCAGCAGTATGCGAAGGTAGGAGAGCAGAATGAGGAGGAAGGGTACCATCACGGTTCCAGCGCCCCCTACCGCCATCATGGCTTCCTGCAGCGTCGTGTCTGCACAGAACAGGTGCAGAAGGATGGGCAGCTCACAGAAAATGTAGTCCACCACATAGGGACCGCAGAGTGGGAGGATGATGCAGGAGAGCGGCACCACCGAAGCGAAAAAACCCAGCGCCCAGGCTCCCAGCGCCAGCGCGACGCACGCGGGCCAGCTCAGGAGCAGCAGGTATCGCAGCGGGTGGCAGATGGCCACGTAGCGGTCCAGAGCCATCACTGCCAGAAGGAAGCACTCCGTGCATTCGAGGAACAGGGTGAGGTAGGTCTGAGCAAGGCAGAAGGCGTAGGAGATGACCTTCCTGCTTGTGAGGAAGTTGAAGAGCATCTTGGGCACCACCAGCGTGCTGAAGAAGACGTTCAGCAAAGCCAGGTGACAAAGGAAGAAGTACATGGGCGACTGCAGAGAGACATCGAGGACCACTAAGGTGACAACCGCCGTGTTCCCGAAGCAGCACGTCAGGTAGACCAGAGAGAGCAGGAGGAACAGGGGGAGCTCGGCCTGGGGGTGATTGGAGAAGCCCACAAGCACCAGCTCAGAGATGACGCTGGCGTTGGCCAGTCTCATGGCCGCCACTGACCAATGCCTGTGGCAGGGAGGAGAAAGCAGCATCTGAGGAAGGAACCCTGGGGTCGAGCCAGTCCCCCTGCACTCGGCTCCACTGCCAAAGTCAGTGCGTTTTAAACAGAAGTGGCAACCGTTTGTGAAATCTCCTTGAACAGCAGAACACTCAGAGCACAGCACTCTCACCCCGTGGCCTGCCTTCTGGCAAAGCAGAACTTTACTTAGGTATTTATTTTAATTACATGTATGACGCAAGGTAGATCTTTAGGTTTCAAGCTGAGAACTTCAGCCATCTCTACTCACTATTTTCCATGTATTCAGTGCACCCCTATATTTTGCTAATCAAATGTTTTAGGTTCAATAAAATAAGGTGACTTGTCCAACATCACACATTGAAAATTTGAATGCTGAAAATAATTCCATTCTCCTCTAACTACAGTAAAAACAGAAATGATAGAATAGTTTTCCCTTATCATGACAAAAGGTTTGTTTTTTCTTCCTGATCCCTAAGGAAAATAAATTATCATCTCATATTTGTGGAACACTACAGCTAATTGGTCTATTTCAACCACCTTAGTGTTAGTAAAAATAATGTAGTTAATTATCTAAACAATGGAGCTTTTGAATTTCTAGGAATTTCTAGTCATGATCTCCGAGTACATAATACTGTCATTTCAAACCCAGGCCTCTTGATTATTCTAAGCAATGTGGGATTGGCTCTACCGGACTGTGTTTCCCAAATGTGCCCACATCTACAGCAATATACTTCCTATAATCTTTAAGAAAATATGAATTTCATGTTCCTGCTTGTGCTGAAACAGAAGCTGTGGACTGGTCACATGAAGTGCAGAATGTCTTCTAAGACACACATACACCAATGTTCACTGCTGCTACCATGCAGCATAGCACCAAAGGGAAACAAACAGAGCTTCTGAGATATTTTTTTTTCCTCCCAGTGCTGGGGATCAAAGCCATAATCTCATTCCTGCTAGGCAAGTGACAAGTACTCTACCACTGAGTACATTCCCAGTCCTGTTCCTGAGATTCTTTTTTTTTTTTTTTTTGTACTGTGGATTTTGAGACAGGGTCTCCGTAAGTTGCTTAGGACCTCACTAAGTTGCTGAGGCTGGCCTTGAACTTGTGATCCTCCTGCCTCAGCCTCCTGAGTTGCTGAGATTACAAGTTTGTGTCACTCTGCCCAGCTCTGAGAATATTTTGAATTACAGCAGTGCAGAAATCATAAAACATGGAGCCCAATATTCACATAAACTCAGACGTCACTCTTTTCTCCACTGAGTTCTATTTCTACTATTTTTCTCTTTGTCCTGCTTAAAATCCCCCCCTTTGTCGCTTCCCTGTTTGATCCTTTATGAAGGATATTTCTAGATTTTTCCATCTATTTTCTTCTCAGGGTTTTTCCATTTTGCACAGCCTACATCAATCAATGAGCAGGACTACTTGACACCAAGCCACATGGTGGGGGAGGATAAAAGGGAAAGAGAGGCCCAGATGAAGCCAGAGAGGGAGAGCTGGAACTGGAGGATGCCTACGGGGAGGGAGGAGCTTGGGGAGAGGAGTCTCCATACTTGCCTGCTTTTAGATGTTAGGCAACATGTTCATTCATAGTTGGTACTGGTACTTTGTAAATGAATTGTCCTGAAAAGGATCAAATTTTCAGATCTTCACCTATTAAAGAGGTGGCATGAGGAGCACAGCTTTGTCAGCCACTGGGGCTCCTCACAGTTAAACTTAGCTAGAAATTGTCTCTTCTTCACAAAGTGCTTCTCAGCACTGTGGAACTCAGGTTGCAAAGAATGAGAGGACCATTGTAATAATCTGCAAAGCCCATTTCACGTTCTTAGTCAAGCTTAGAAGCTATTCACATCCTCTTATTCCCTTCCTTACTCCCCCCCCCAAAAATTTATATTGCATTCACTGCAAGGAAATGAGAGTGAAGTGAGGGAAAGATGCTTTCTAGGCATCATAAATTGGAATAGAGACTTCAGTGAGTTAAGTGAATTATATTAACAGCCAAAGTTTTAGCTGAATCCCAAAGGGAACCAGTTAACTTCATGTAAAAAATAAAAACTAATTAATTATTGTGCCTCTTACTTTTGATGCAGACAGCTCATTAATGCAACTTTAATTTCCTACTGATGGTGCCAGGTGTTGACTCTGTTACTTCTCTGAGAGGAACACCTTAATTTGGAATTTTAAATTCAAAAAATTTAAAACTAATATGTTAATAACATATTTTAAGACACACAAATTTTCTGAACAGAAATTTTGCAAAATCCTAGGTAAATTCAATTATGTTATAAATATAAGTAATACAATTAACAAAGCAATGTTATGTTACTTAAGTGTGGATAACTCTTTTGTGGTCAGACATAGGCCATTCTCCAAAGCAAGAACACTGGCAAGGGCTGGGGTTGTGGCTCAGTGGGAGAGCGCTTGCCTAGCATGTGTGAGGCACTGGGTTTGATCCTCAGCACCACATAAAAATGAAATAAAGATATTGTGACCGCCTATAACTAAAATATATATATACATATTTTTTTTAAAAAAAGAACACTGGCAAGATAAAGCTCCTGGGTGGGCTTCCATAACAACCCTTTAACAAACTTGAATCACAGGCAGAAAAATTGACTTAATTCTGTATAAATTGATAAAAATAACTGGTTTTTTTTTTTTGTTGTTGTTGTTACTATTGCCTGTTCCCTTTAAAAGTTGAGTTTTTGAGCATCAAATTATCTCCAGAAAAAATTAGAGGGAACAAGGGCAAAGTTCCGATAATATACAAGATGCTCATGAAACTTACATCTGAAGGGGCAAAGACACCTCACCTGTCCATGTGTTCATCCCAACACATTACCATGCAGTGATAAGCACTATGACTTACAGCTGGGTAAAATAAAGAATAGCCAAAGTACTGGCCTTGATCAAAGTCGAGCAAAGACTTCGTAATGTTGCGACAGGTGAGAGGATACCTGGAGAAATGGAGGATGCCGTAGGTGAGGAAGGATTACTGGAGGGCAGAGTGGAGAGTGCACCCCCGCCCCCATCCATGAGCTCGCTCTTCTGGGGCTGGGGCTACGGAAGAAAGAGGTGCAGGGCACACTGGATAGTGGCCAAGCTGAAGCAGCAGGTGGGTGTGTCTCAGATGCTCCTAAGGGACGTGGGGAGTTCAGATTCTGTTTTAAGTGAACCCTCGACCGTGTCCTCTGTGTGTGTGTGTGTGTGTGTGTGTGTGTGTGTGTGCGCGGCATGAGTCCTCCCTTCCTGAACACCTGAGTGCTTCCTTTTTCTGCGTAATGTCAACTCAGTAAACCACCACACTCAACAGGAGGCAATGTGACTGCAAACTATCACTGTGACCATCTTAGAGAGCGTGCTGTCCCCACACATTGATAATCTATGATGTGCAGTTCTGTAGTGTCCCTGTGACCATCAAAGCGCTTTTTAATCTTTAGTCATTTTAAAGTAATTCATATTCAAACACAATCTCACCATGTGACTGTGAGCTTAGACGATGGGAACACAACACAGCCACCTTCTCCCAGCTGTAGTGACAGATCCTTAACTTGCTCTCTGTGGGGCTGAGGGTCTTGTACTTTGAGGTCCACTCCCAAAGATCTTGTCACTTAGCCTCGTCCCTGGAGGATGTCTGGCCTCAGCCAAGTGTCCTCCAGAGGGTCTTTCGTGGTTTCACTGCATAGGCTGAAGGTGAAGGGATTTGGGAGGGGTGCCATGATCCTGGAGCTTCCTGTCCATGACAGGCTGCTCATCTGAGAGGGGATGACTCAGGCAAAGCTGGGGGTCCCACAGCCACAGAGACCACTGAGCAGAGAGAGGTGCTGCTGCTATGGGCTGCCCTGGGCCTCAGCCCGAGGGCCCCTGCAGAATGGTGGAGATGGTGTGGACCTAGGAACCTCTGTGAATGCCAGGACCTGCTGAGAGGGACAAGGGGCTGAGGAAGCCCAGGGGCTCATGGCACCAGTGTCCACACAAGTCCAGGGGAGGAGTGGCGCTTCCACAGAGAGAGTGATCTGTCAACTTGGACCACAGAGCAGCAGCCCTGCCTTGAGGATGATAAATGGAAGGGTGAGGAGAGAGCCACCCTACCCCAGAGGGGACGAGGAGGTGGGTAGAAGGAACTGGTCTTCTTTGCAGGGTATTGAAAGGGGCTGCAAATGGCCACACAGTGGTCATAGGATGCGACAGCCAAGGGAATAACTCAGAGCTTCCAGAAAGAAAGTAAACAGGACTGGGCGAAGCATCCAGCAAATGAGGCTCTTTTCTGCTGGAAGGAAGCCTGCTAGCCTCACAGAACAGCATGGGCTGCCGCAGTCCGGCTGCCGCAAAATAACTGGGGGGTGACGAACAACTTGTGTAGATTGATACAGCAGGAGTAGGAGCCGTTTATTGCAGGACAGGAGCAGTATTTATACATTCCACACAGCTTATCTAATTAGCATAAACTAGATACAGCAGTCAACCAATCAGGAATCTCCACACTTAATGCCTCGCTTTTGTTACTTCTCAAACCACTCCCTCTGGCATTTTGCCAGGCACCATCCAGACTTGTTTACGAACTCTAACATTCCCCTGGCAAAATGCCAGGTGTTATTTTGACTTTGTTTACAGACTCTAACAATGGGCTGTGGTTAATATTTCACCGAAAGCAAGAAATACTTGGAAGAGAGGAGCCTGCCCAACAATTAGTACAGTGATGTCAAGCACTGCACCAAAAAGGACATTAAAAACATCAAGAAAAGGCTCCGGGCCCTGGTGCTGGCACCTCCGTAAGAGTGCATTTCACAATGCTCAGTGCATTGTCATGATAAAAACACTCAAAAAACTTGGGATAGAAGGAAATTTCCTCAACTTGTAATAAGGAACATGTATGAAAATCCACAGTCAACATATTACTCAATGGTGCAAGACAGAAACCTCTTCCATTACCATCAGGAGCAAGACGTGTGATTGTTTTCACCACAAGCTAAAACTAGAAACTCTTCTTTTCCAAAAAGAATATTTTATTTTTAATTGTACATATTTATGGGATACACTGTGATATTTCACTACATGTGTACAATGAGTAATAGATCAGGATAATTAGCCTCTTATCCTTAAATGTTTATCCTTTCTTTGTATTGATAATCTTTGAACTGTTCTCTTCTAGTTCATTTAAAAATACTTAATAAATAAGTTGTTATTTATTAAGTAGTAGAGAAGTAGTATAGAACGCTAGAACTTATTCCTTCTAACTATTTTGGTTCCCATTATCCTAGCCCCCACTTTCCTCCCTGCTCTACTGTTGGAATAACTTTCAGTTCACAGCTAGCAGCTACAAGCAGCTCAGAGTGCTAGGAAAACCTATGCTAGCTAGTACAGACCTGACAGGAACACCAGAAGGATGGGGCGCCCTGCTCTAGCCAGCCGTCTGTGAATCCACATCCTCAGCACTTGTGGTCAACTTTGTCAAGCTACCAGACTACCAGGTCAGGAAACCAAGCGTCAAGTGCTTCAGGGCATGTAACCCCCCAACTCATAGCCCCCCTCCCGTAGGGGCAAAGACCCTTCCAGACTGCTTTCCATCACCACAGCAAGATTTAGTGCTTTCTCATAGTGCGGTTACATTAGGCATAAGATGATTGGCTTATAGATGTTAAGGTGCTAATGTGTGATTGGCGGGCACGCCCTACCTGAACCCTAAAACAGCTATATGCATTCCAAAAATAAACGAGCTGGCCTGGAGGTCAATTGAGGTTGTCACCTGCCAGCTCTCACCAGCTCCCAGTGTCCCTGTGTTGCTGTGACTCTACTCCCCACCCCCACCCCCCACTGAAGTAGCCAAGTAACCATTGACCACCCTAGGAACCCAGGAACACATACACTCTACCCGTCCTCTATGAACACTACTCTATTTTCTCCTTTAAGAAATCAACATTTTTAGCTTCCACATGTATAACTATGAAACTCGTTAAAATCCTAGGGGAAATGCTTTATGACATTGATTTGGCAAGGATTTCTTGATAAGATCAAAATAGCAGGCAACATAAGGAACAAAGGAAGTAAATTGTGTTTCACCAAATTAAAAACTGTGCATCAACAGACACAATCAGCATGGTGAAAAGGCAATTCGTGGAGTGGAAATAATTATTGCAAATCATATGTCTGGTAAGGAAGTCATATTAAGAAAATGTAAGGTACCTGCAAAGCTCAACAATAAAGAAAAGAAGTCAACCTAAGAATAGCTATCCAAATCAACAATGGGAAAAAGACTTGAACAGACTTTCTCCCAAGAAGATATACAAATGGCCAATAGACACATCAAAATCTATTCCACATCACTCATTATTGAGGGAATGCAAATCAAAAGCTCAATGAGACACCACTTCATATCCAAAAGGATGCCAGTTATTCAAAAGGCCCCCAAACTGTAAAATAACAAGTGTTCACAGGATGTGGATAAATTAAAGCCCCTGAGCATTGCTAGTGATGACAGTATGAGGGTCCTCAAAAATTAAATGTAAATATCTATCAATTTTAGAAGATTAAACATAGAATTAC